GAACCAATTTTGAAAACATTTATGCCACTCCTCCGTGATAATCTCTGAAACATATTTTACATACTCTTCGACAGCCTCTTCAGGTGATGAAAATAGTTGACCGCGTAACTGGTCCTTAATTTTTGGAAATAAATAAAAGTCACAAGGTGCCAGGTCAGATGGCTCATAAGGTTAACGATGTTCACCTTCAAAAATTAATTTGTCTACCTGCCGTATGAGAACTGGCATTATCGTGGTGAAAGATGATATGGCGTTTACGGTTATTTTTACAGAGTTTGTCAATAACTTCCGGCAAAAAAATGGTCGTGTACTAATCACTATTTACGGTACAACGATTCTCCAAAGCAACAATAGCCACGTGTCCAGTTTTATTAAAAAAAGAAGCGATCATCCGCTTAGAGGCACTTGCATGCACGCCACTTTGGTTGGTTTCGGCTTATCTCGAAAGACCCATACGCTCGATTGCTGCTTTGTTTTGGGATCGTAACTATAAATCCACGTTTCGTCACCTGTTACTATGTCCCATACTAAATTTGATGCCCCTTCGTTGAATCTGGTAAGCATGGTATTGCACCAAGTGACGCGATCCGTTTTTTGAGCCTCAGTCAAATTGTGTGGGATCCACCGAGAGCACAGCTTTTTCACACTGAAATGTTTGTGTAGTATTGATTGTATTTGACTCATGCCTATACTTAAAGTTGTCTGAATCTCATGGTATGTCACATTTCTGTCTATTTTGATTATACGGCCCACAGCATCGATGTTTTTGTTGTTCACAGCAGTGGCGACCATCACGAAATTCGTCACTGAGATTCACACGACCGCGTTTGAATTCTCCAAACCAGATATAAATAGTTGTCTTGCATGGTGCTTCATCGCCATAAGCTGTTTGAAGCCGAGCAAAGATCCGCTGAGCTGTTACATTACTCTTAAAGTCGTAGAAAATCATACTACTTTCACGAGTTATTCCATGGTGATGCAGATAACCAATTTCTAAAATGACGCCACAATGTAAAAACAAGTGACAGTCAGATGAAACAAACCGTATTCTACAGCCAAAGAGTCCCATTTTCAAATGCTCTAATTGCTTTTTAAATTTTGTTTTGTGTAAGTGGCCAGTTCCGGAAACTTATAGTGCGCCCTATGTATTTCTGGCATACAACTAACGTATAACCACAAATTTATGGGTAAAAACATACCTATTTTACTAAAAGGTACATCATTCTATCGGTATGAAACACCATTTTATTTGATATAACGGTCTAATTGTACAATTTGATCAACAAAAAAAAAATTAAAATTGCACACAAACGTTGTAACAAAGTCCAATGCTTGAAAATAGAAGATTTTTTTATTTGTAAGTAAAGGTTCAATTTCGTTTCATCAGCTCGAAAGCTTAAAATAAAAAAGCAGAAAATAATTAAAAAAAATTAAAATAACTTTTAATAACCTTTGCCCAACAGTGGGACATCATTTTAATATTCTTAATTCAATAAAAACTTTTATTGGATCTCAACATATATACATATAATGGATCTCCACGCTTCCTTTTCTGTCCAATTAGAACATTTTACACACATAAGTCGGATCGCGAGCCTTACAATATAACTATTTGCATTTATAGTTTTTGCAAAAATGAGGGCAGTTTCATTTGCACAGTGTTCTAGTTTGTTCTTTATTCGGGCATACTAGACTCAAGGTTTTATGCGAAAGAGATAAAAAGTCCCGATTATTTTCAGTAAATCAGATGATATTTTTTAAATAATGTTATGCAATATATGTTATTCGTTATGTCATAAATATATTTAGGTATTTGTTGTTGTGATTCATTGTATAAACGAAGATAATTTGTGGAGCAACTTTTGAGAAAAATTACGGTAATTTTGTTAAAAGAATTGTTAATTCGTTTAAAGTTAATTTAAATTGATGTGTAACTAATCAGTATTTTTGTTATGTAAACCATGTTTGTTAATAAATGAACACTTTCGTTGTACACTGAGAAATTAGCAGAGGTCTAGTTTTGACACATGTTTTTAAATTATTTTTCATACTAGTTTTGTTAGACAGTTGTTTTATTTGTAGTGAAATATTTTTTAAGATTTGAAAATTATTTGAATAATGAATATAATTTTATGTGTATTAAGTTTTCAGATATGCACTTCACTATTTCCTTTAAAAAACCCTTTTACTTTGACATTAGCACAAAGTAATCCAGTGCCATTATGAAAAAAAATAAGTTCATTAAAATTTAATTGTTGCCATTTTTCTATCAAAATTTAATGTTTTGCTATTATGGCAGACCGGCTTAAAACCACAGCAGTACTGGTACGTAGATACCACATTTTGCTTTTACCAATCTTGTCTCACTTTCCAATTTTGTGGAATGTAAAAAAGCACGAAAAGGTTATTACGCTCTTGTTTTTGTTCTTACATAGTCTGCTGAGTTTAATAAAGTAATAATACACTTTATTATAGGAAAAAAGAAAAGTTAATACGGGTTTGATATCCGTTATCAATGTAAGCTTAAGTACGATTAAATGTATAGATAATGTAGTTTTACGGAATAGAGTAAGTCCTGTGGTCAAATAGTTTAGTAGCAGAAGAGCACCTTGTGAAAAAGTTCGTCCAGAGAATACTGCCACCTTATTTCTGCCGCGAAGCAGTAATGTCAGTAGGTTTTGAAGGGTAAGGAATGCTGATGAAATTACAAGTCTTACATCCTCTAAGAATTATAGGCACATAGGTCTTGTCAACTGTCAGGGTTACACTCAGATCTTTGACAGGCGTGTCGCTTACGCTTACGCTTAAAAGACGTACGACTTTTTCATCCCGGCGTCGCGTCGCTTGGTGTACTAAAAAAAATACACACTGCTAAAATTATGCTTAATTATTTATTTTCACTTACAACTTTATGAGTTCAGTACATTATTCTTCTTCGGTCTGTCATAAGCTTCCAAAAACGATCCATATTCATTTTTGAAACCTGAGTATAACCGTATGCCTTTTACAGTTAATTATAGGCTTTTGACCATGTTATGACAATTTATTCCCTCCGATATCTAGAACGTTATCACGCGTATGTGACAACGGATGTTTTTCAATTTCAACTTATCGGCAGTGAACCGCCAAACACACTTTTATGCCGTACTTTACAATACTTTATTAGGCAAATAAAAGGTTGTGAAGCAGAACATAATTAAGTTATTTATGTGTATGTGGTGCATGCGGTTACCGAAAACATAATGTGGTTGCAGCTTTCGTAAAATTCGGAGTGCTTTCTCCATATAAAATCGCATTGAGAATTTAACGACGCTTCGTGCAGGTTTCTTTTGCCTTATGTTGACTTATAAAATCTTTGTGTGATGAAAAAATTTGCATGCGTTTGGAAGGTCGAAATTTTATTCTTTAAATGTATTATTAAGGGTCTTCTAGTAAGTGGTCGCATTAGAAAAAAAATAAATAACAGCGCGAGAGATACGAAGATTTTATGTTTGTTTGAGATTGTCGAAATTTTTTTAATGGGCAGGCTACCAGCCACTATGAAAGTCGTTTTCTAATGAATAAAGTAGTAATAAATGTAAGGAATATTTTCAACATTTAACAGTGAAGAACGAGGCATTCGTACGACTTATGTCGTATTTTTCGTTTCGTTCTGGGTCCATTGACATCATCGATCAATTGGCATGAAAGACGCAGGCAAAAGATTTCCCTTGACAAATGCAAAATTAAGTCATCAAAACCCAGTCACGGCTGTGCCGTCTTCCCTAGATGAGCTCCGAGTGGTGCGTGCAATTTGGTATGCGTGCTTTGCAAATGCGCTGGCGCATCATTAACCACGTGTTGATGAATAGCGCTTGAGTACGCGCCGGTAATGTCCGCCATGGGGTTCGAAACATTTTTCAAAATTTCAACTTAATGGTTTGTAAAATTTAAGAAAATAAAAGTTCTGTAAAGGTTACTTATATCTACATGGTTTTGGAAGTTGAGGGCATATAAATGGTCTCTAGTTCTCCTTAATGAAAAATAGGCGCACGCCTGTTAACTGTTAAGCGACGACGTGATCGAAGATGGTTCCCTTTTTTAAAAAATGCCTATTCACTCTAGTCTTCAATAGCCTCAATTTTTCGGGAAATATACGTAGCGTATTCCATTCCTTTGCTTGTACGCCACTGTATGAGGGACATATCAAAATAGAAGTGTCCCAAACTTTCTAGTCGACCAAAGAAAGAACGGTAGTGGTGGAACCGAATTGTAAAGTATTTTAAATGTAAACGGACACAAATTACTTTTGTTTTCAGATACCTAAATACCGACAAAAGAACAATAAAGTTTTCTAACGAATCACAAATACAGGTGTTGAAATGTTTTTTAAATTAGTAGATAAGAGAAACGTGTGAAGTGGTAAGACCTCCTCGTTTAGACCTTATTGTTTGAAATCGTCTCATATCTTCACACCTCGACCGCTAACGGACAAATTACTTCCGCAGCACAAGCTCACAGATTAGAAATGCATGTTATCTTAGAAACGTGCCGTATCTGTTACGCAAAAGAATGCATAATGAAGCGGTCGTGACCGAAGGTTTACATCGGCTGCGAATCGTGTCCTGAGGCGTATTCGGCGTAGCCCATTGCGTTCGCATGAGCGCGCTCGTGAGAATGTTCCGAGATTTTTTTAGAGGTGGGCGATGTCAATAGTGTATCAGCGGAGCCGCGGCCGCAGTCCAGCGGCGCAGGCGCGGGACCGCGGACGGTGGGCGGCACATCGGCGCTGCGCTCGCGACTCGCGGTACGCGGCAGCCACGCGGGTACTCCAGGAGCGCATCCCTCTGGCGTTCCATTGTTCCGCACTCGACCCGCGCCCACTTTCATTGTTTTGACTCCGCGACCGATATTTATGCCTCTACATCCGTTGAGCGGACTGCCGATAAATCGCGTTATTAATTATTGAATTACGATCGATTGTAATTTAATCGAAGCAATTTTGAATGTACCGCTTTCAGAGCTCACGTTCAAGGATTTACCGCCGCCTTACCGGGAGAACGATGTTGGTAACAGCGATCAAAATAGAAGAGATGAAGTTCAAAACCTGGTAAATGAAGTTTCTGAACAGTTTTAATAAATTCTTCAGCCATTGTGTCATACTGAAACTTGTGCAACATTGCAGGTTACTCTACCTTGCGACGCATTAGATTTGCTCGCAAACTGCAAGACAGCCAATATAAACAGTCCAGAATCAGAAGCGGAATACGCAGAAATTCAAGACATGGGTCTGTGGCATTCAACGCCGCTCTCTCATCGACATAAATCCAAAATATCTTTGACGTGGGTGCTGAAGGAGAACCTGGAGAGCACAAAGTTACCACCAGAAAAATTACAGACGGAAGAGAGATTAAAAAATTTGCTTGTGAGTGAAGAGAGACGAAGCCATTTGAACGAAAACGAGCGTGTTAGAAAGTGCAAGTCAAGAGAAGTGAGAGAGAGGGTCGTGGGACGTAATGAATATTATCACAATCTTAGGTTTAAAAGTGTTTGTGATGAACTTGTGAATGCACGGGAGTCGTGTTCTGACGATACTAGTGGAGCCACCGAGGAGTATACAAAGAGGAAACATCGTCATCGACACAGGAGAAAGAAGCGAAAAGATGGCAGGTTCGGGTACGACATACGAGACTTGGATAGCTTCTTGAGTGAGGTCAGTAAATAATGTTATAACTGTAAAAACATGTAGATGCCCATACATAGTTACACATGTTATGTATAAGACGTAAACATGCACTTTGCTGTAAAAATTAATTAAATATGCTCCCATTCAGTAACTCTGAATTGAATCATAATTTATCTGCACAATACAGTACACGTTATATTTTTATCCGTAAATCAATTTAGTAGAAACCAATACCCGAAACCAAAACCTTTTATGTCAAAAATAATTAATATAGTATTAAAATATCTGTTATAATGTACGAAAAAAACGATCGATCATCTTCGATATAAACGAAACAGCGTTTAAATTCGCGGAGATGCACAAAAGAATTTTAAATGCACTTGTAAATCTTGACCATAATTCATGTCGGCGTTGTTATTATAACATTATGGTATAGTGTAGCTTTTTGTGCCGTACGGAAAGACTTGGGGATCAATTTTGGACCTTTCGTCGCAAAAACAAAGGATTTTCTTTCAATCCACACGCTATGACGCCTGCTACACGCAAATGATTCTGACATCAAATACTTAATGATTACGTTACAAGTTTACTAGAATTAAATACAGCTCAGCAGGACGTTGAAGTAATGTTAAGTTCATGTTGTTCAAAATTTAAGAACGCTTTTTGCGTGCATTAAGTAATCTGAGATAGTCTTCGAAGTTTCTTTAAAACTTCCTAAAGTTCAAATTTCGTGTCTGGAAACATTTTACGCAACCTTTAAATGAAAAATAGGTCGTAAAAGTGAACTGTATGAGAAAAAAAGCACAATATTATCTGAGGAGTAGACGGGTCATTATTCAATGCGGTTTATTTAAAACAATAATAAATCTCTGGGTTAATCGTAACTGCTTTAATTGCGTTGTACCAATTCGTCCGTACGTACTTATACTGCAGTTGAAAGCCATTAATTTGTCAGACCTCTGACCGTTAATATCGCGTTTTCTCGTTTCACGCAGTTGATATTTTAAATGTTAAAAGTATATTGGGTGTAAAATTAACAATTTATATATGACATAAAAGTCGATGAAACTGCTGCAGAAATAATGCAATCCTGGCTTATTGCCTACTATGTTATTTGTTTTCTTTTACAGTCACGCCCTTAGATAATAATAATAATAATAACGCACACACTCAACATAGCCCCGCTCTAAGGACTACCACAAATTACACCCAAACTGACGAGATAAATAAATGTAGGCCATACAAATATTTCTCTCGGCCCGGGAATCGAACCTGGGACCTCTGCGTGGCTGCCCGGCATGGTAACCGTTCGGCCACGGAGGCAGTTAATTCGCTTTGAAGTACCTATGCAGAGTAATACCTCACTTACATACATCAATCTTTTCATACAAGCTATCTTAAGACGGCTTCCTACACGTTAGTAGAAAGGGCGCATGTGACATTTTATCAAAAATTTTGTTATGTATACCTCCTGTCGCAGTGATCAGTGAAAACAGGCCGACCTATCACTATTTTTATTTTTGTCATAAAGAAAAGAAGATATTTTTTTTTATTTCGTTTCTTTTAAACATAATTTTCTCGATTCTGAGTTTTGTCACAAGCGCCCTTTTATTTAACAAATCGGCGCGTTTGACATCACGTGCCCTGGGAACGCACCCTTATTCTTCCGACTACGCATTAAGAACACTCAATTTGATCTGACAATGTTTTCGTAGCCGTCCTCTTTCAATGATACCTTCCACGTTAGCGCTATATATTTCTTTCGTTAATCTACATTCATACATCTGCCGTACGTGCCCAAATCACTACATAAGACACGTAGAATAATTATTATATGTTCCAGTCGTTCCTTTCGTCTGTTTTGAAATATGCAGATGCACGCTATCCAGGTTTGTGTGAGGCTCTCCTCAATAAGCTGGACCGGTTGCAGAATCTTTGCATTACGTTTTTTGGCTTCCATAAATTTAACCATGTGTCAGAATTCTGGTCCAAACCAGGATGTTACTATTCATCGTCGTAGAGACATCAATGTTTTGTCCCTTCTATACTCTGTCCTCTTTAATCTCGCCTCTCGTCCCTACCGTAAAGATTGTTTCGTATACTATCACTACTCTCACCCAAACTCATATGTTTCTCTTTCTTTAAATTGTATTGTGCACTTTTTTATTCTTTACTTAAATATTTTTTCTGATCTAAGCTTTACCAAAAGGCCTCAGATCCCGTGTTCGTAGATAGCCGTGACCATGGGAGCTTCATAACGGTTGCTGTGCCACTCAGAGCTTTAAATCACAACGGTCTGTGGGGTACTGCCACTGCGTCTGTCACCCTAAGACACAAGTTGACAAATCCCATGTGTCTGTAAATTCACCCTTACCTTACCTTCCAAATTATTCATAAGTACCTACACTTAAAATAATAACGCATAGAAACCTAGTCCGCACACGCAAATTGAAGCGCGCCCAATGGGCCTACACGAGCGGGCGGGCCTTCAGTGCTCAAGGTCAACTTGCACCGCGAACAGATCAAGAATTTTAGCTAAAAATGACGAAATGTGCGGTAAATGAGTGTAAAAATACGTCAGATAAACATAAAATAGATACTAACATCACATTCCACAAGGAAGTAACGCGTTTCAACTTGTATTTTTATATAAATATTCACTATAACCGAAAATTAACCTACTACTAAAACTAGCCTACATGAATTTGATTTTTGCCTCACTTGTGACAGTTCGTTTGATATGAAACTATCGTTCTATGCGGTATTATTCTAAGTACCTACCTACATTATTCATTTTCTATGAAAAATAATTTTTATTAAATTTGACTAACTGCCACTGTCCCGATTTTTTTCTTCCCACACAATGAAATCATACTTGAAACTGAGCTTATTAGATGTAAGAAAAACTAATCAATTTTATTAATTTTGTATAAAAAACATTTTATGAAATTTGACCAACTTCGGCTGTCCCGATTTTTTTCGTCCGATACAATGAAATAATCCCTTCATGAAACTTGATGACACTAAATCGATTAGCACTAAAAAATTTTTTATAAATTTTAGTTATTTTTATGGACTAATCACACTTGACCAAAAATTGATTATGGCAAAATTGTTTTCACAAAAGAAGGCTTGGTTCCTAAGACAGTTTCCTTGTATTTTCTATGGTTTCGGATTTTCCCATATTGTCCCATTTAAAAAAAAACTTGTATACAACATTTCTTGTTTCCTTTTTTAATATATTCCATGACCTGGTTTCAAATACTGAGCATTATCATTAATGTTTTGTCAAGGTATATTATGTACACTAAATTAACAATAATAAATTAGTGCCAGAGCTTTATTTAGAACTGGTTATTGATGGTGTTAAATAAATCTATCATTCCAGTAAATCCCGTATGCGGAAACTCGTGTTTTATAGGAGTGTGTAGAACCTAAGTAATTAACCCAGAATGCTTGAAGTAAGTACCTTAGTGCAATTAACTTTATGAGTACATTTTCTCATCGAGTATATAACCTATATAGTCGATGCATTTTCTAGATCGTCTTGTTGTTTTATTGTGCGTACGCGATTACACAATAGTGTAAAAGTAATATTTCCTTAGAAGCTTGAATGAGCATTGCGTGTTTGTTATGCATCGATTTGTTTGTTCTTTTTGTGTTGAACGCGCACACACTGTGATGATTTGCGGGTTAATGAAGTGCTACGATATCTATCAGGATCATAGCAAGTGGAAGGCTGCGGTCTCTACCTACCTCTATGAGGTAATAATAATAATAACGCACACACTCATAGCCCCGCACTAGGGAAACCCTGTATCGCAGGTGCCATGGACACACACAGAGAACCACAATTACAATAAACTCACGAGAGAAATGAATGTAGGCCAAACAAATATTTATCCCGGCCCGGCAATCGAACCCAGGCCCTCTGCGTTACAGTCCAGCGTGGATGCCGTTGGGCCACGGAGACGTTAAAACCATAGATTTAGGTTAAAACATTCACACAATTTTAAATGCAATATCAACTGTAAACTGGCACTTGGTACTATCTCAATTTTGACAACTTTACAGGATGAAGACAAAAATTGTTAGCGTCATTTATATAGCACCTGGTTTATTAAATAAAAAAACGTAGTTTTTAAATATTTTTATTACACATATATGTATGTATGTACACTATGTATTTTTATTTAATAAACCAAATGCTATTTAAATGATTTTTTCTTCACCTGTAAAGTTGTCAAAATTGAAATACCGGGTGCCTATTCACGATAAGCCCATTTTTTTTTACAAAAAATAAACGTCTTAAATTAGTTAAATAATACAAGAAACGATGATTTAAAATACATAACGATTATAACTGTATTTTAACTGTAATTATAAGTGCACTAAGGAATATTTCATTCATTTTTTCGTTCATCCATTTATAATTTGTTTTTGCAAAAAATATATTTGCAAATAGTAGGTATTACCACAGATTACAGAATATAGTATTACTAAACTAGTAAAGAGTACTGTGTAAATATAGGCTACCAACCGCAAACCAAAACAATGAGAAACAAAAAAATCAAAAAGTATGCCGAAACAATTTCAAATAATATTATAAATAAATATGTTGTATAACGATTTGTTCACTAGTTATAATTGATATCTTCATCATCAACCCATTTATACGTTCCACTGCTGGGTACATATTTCCTCTTATGTGAGGGTGTAGGCCTTCTCCGACGTGCAAGTTTCATCGCGATATTTTCTTTGAAAAGCTCATGGTAAATTTCAAATTAAATTCCGAAAACTCAGGGGTGCGAGGCCTGACTCGAACCCACGGTCTCTGCCAGAGAGGCGATGTCCCAACTAGCACGCAAGCTCTAATAACAAGCCGTATAATAGCCAGTTAGAAGTTCTTAATAACGGCATAGGCTGCATTAGTAAGTTCTACAGTAGACGTATAAGCGGCTACAGCGCCGCTGTACCCCCAAAATGGGCACCGATTTATACGCTATGGGTCCTACAATGGCCGTAAATGTGTGTTAGTACGAAGTTAAAAAGGTGCTATAATGTCTAAATATTACGCTCAATTTATATTGCTACGGAACGGAATGATACGAGCTAAAATCTTTTGCGGAATTCTCGCACATGCTCGAGAATGCTCGCGCATTCCGCGGAAGATTTTGGCTCATATCTAGTTTGTACGTTACACTATTTAACATAAAGTTCATTATTCTATGTACAATATCGTTATAAGAATTCGTTTCCATTCCGTTCCGCTATATAATTTCTTAATTTCTTATTCAGGCATCGATCGACCGTCCAGGAAACATTCCTGTGGTGGTCGCGTACCCTACAACACTCTACCAGACGCACAAAGGTGTGCAGGAAGAGTTGTCCCTGCCGCTGGGAACGGTCGTCAATGCGGTGTTCAAGAACCAGCAATGGGTGTACGCACAAACTCCGCATGGCGACGAGGGTTATCTGCTGTACAGTGCGTGCTTACCTTTAGGAATACTACCTAGTCGGTAAGTGGTTATACATTTTGTACGAATTTACAGTTACACTTATATTCAAATCCGCACATGCACTCACATATTGAATAGGTTACTTTTAAATGCACTATTTACACTTTATTATATTTTTATTGTAATGATCAATTTTCATCCTAGTCGTTTATTAGATCTTTCATTACAAATAACCTCTAGAGTTAGTACCTCAAGTTGGTTCTGACTGAAAACCAGCGCCTTGGGGAACTTAGGCATACGCTGAGTCAGCGCCATTTTACTTTTAACATTTTTATAATAACTGTCGATTTTTTGCAATCCTTTTCACCTGTATATAAAAATAAAATAATGTGCCGACCTCAGTGGCCCAACGGTTTGCACTGTGGGAACTGGACAAGGAGGTCCCGGGTCCTTTCCCGGTAGGACGAAGTTAGAAAATGAATTTTTGTAAATTGTTTCTGGTCTGGGTGCTCTGGGAAGTGTCCCAGATTGAATTCCGTCAGTGAACTACCTAGTTCGTGACGAAGCAATTAGTGTGTTAGTCTGGGACATTAAAAGCAACACAAATGACCCTTTGTTTTTGGTTTGATTTATTCGTCAGTTTTCTAACGATTATTTCGGATGTAAATCGCATAACATTTGTTTTTTAACCGACTTCAAAAAAAGAGAAGGTTCTCAATTGGACTGTATTTTTTTGGATGTATGTTACGCGATAACTCTGGCATTTGTGAACCGATTTTGGTGATTCTTTTTTTGTTGGAAAGAGGGAACCTCGGTACGCACCGACCTCTGTACCTCGCATTTAAATTTGAAGAACATATTTCACCTCTAAGGGTGGCAGACTAGGGGATTAATGACTTTAGATGTCGGTTTATTAGTACTCTGTACTGTTTTGTTATTAATGAACATAGTTCTTAATGTAGTGTGTGTATGTAGATATCGCACTTGACAACTAACATAGTATTATCTCAAAAATTGCGTCATATCATATTTTTATCTCAAAATTGCGTTACATTAATAATTTATCTCCAAAACGTCGCTATACTTGTATGTCATTCGTAAACGATTTAATTTCAAAGTTACAGGACAACACTGTCGCTTTGAAATTAAATACGTAATATTAATATAACTATGAAGCAATTTTGAGATAATACTATGTTAGTTGTTATGTGCGTACTTACAAAAATTGACAATTCAAATTAACCAGTGCCAAGCAGTTGGACGAATAATGATGATTGAAATTAAATTATTAAATTAATTATCTTACATTTTCAGACCATCTACTCAAAAGAAGGCGCCTTGTTGGGAGAGCAGCACAGACATCTACCCCCGCCCGTGCGGAAACCTCACCGATACGGAGAAGGAACAATTACGAGGCAGAACACGCTCAGAATGTCGCTACAAACCGAAAAGAAAACCCAAAAACTGCGCAGAAAAGGACTTTGACACCCTATACTTAAAAACGAAATCTGTGTGTTCTATAGACAAATTAGAAAAAGATAATCGTGATAGATGTAAAGTGCAAACACAGACTTTATTAGTAGTAAATAGTGATTATAAAGGCAATATTCGCAATAAAACATTAACAGTCAGTCAGGGAGACGTGGTAGTGTTAGTGCAAGGGAGACAGGAGACCGATGTGGATTCAGAGTGGTTCTATGTGAAAAAAAGAGATGGCAGTCAGGGCTTTATTCCCGCTGATATTGCTGGCCATGGGTATATTTAAGAGTTAGTGGATAAATGAAATTTAAGCTAAATTGTTTTTTTTAGAAAAGTGTACAATAAGTAAGTTATTAACTATCTAAAGACTGAAATGTTACATATGGTTCATCAGTTTACGTCGAAGAACTACTGTACGTTAGTGATGCAATGGAAGTGTCATAACGGAAACAGATATCAGGAGTAAATCTTAACGGAAACTAAAACGGAGTGAAGTGTCAATACTGTAAAGATCTCAATGAAATAGTTCTAAACAGGACTTCTTTTTGGTTTCTATCAATACGCTCGCGCGCCTCATTAAAACTTCATTAAAGTACCGTCATGAAAGTTGCGGAAACGGAAAGAGATGTGAAAAAGCGTGTGGAACTTCCGTAGTTACAGAAGCAGAGGCCTCTGCAGCTTAAGGCGCTTGAAAAAGTCAAAGATACTAGATCAGAACTATCAGCGCAATAATGACGAGGAAGAGAAGCGTCTCTGGACTCTATTTCAAATCACATCCGATCTGTTTATGGTTCAAGAACAGATCGCAAACGGAATCAGTAAGAAAAAAAATTAAGTAACTTGTTTGTGACTGCCTACATAACAAACTGTTTTGTGACTTCCGTGGGAAAAAGTACAGTAGAACTGACCACCCAGCACATTATGGATTAAGAAATCTACATTTGTGCATTTAATAAGCGAAATAAGTGTTCAATAAAAAGCCATTAATTTTTTTTATTACTTATTTATTTCACAATTCAATAGGCTTCACTTAGCGAAAATGCAAAATTTGGTCTCTGTAGTTAAAAGTAGTGCATAGATCAATTTCAGGGCTAGAACCAGCAATAGCTAGTACCTTATTAGGTGTAGTTCTAAGTATTGCCGAATACACAGTTGTAGCTGACACAGGGAGTTCCACCTTGACCTCTCCAGAGTAGCTAAGTTGGTAGAGATGTTTGGCAGCGCCGCCAGCAAAGACGCAGTCGTCGTGGAAGAAGCACACGTGGATGCCGTGATCGGGGATGTCGAAAACTGTCACTGCGTCCAGAGAGCGGAGGTGCCAGAGTGCTAGACGAGGGCCGCCACCACACACCTGATAAAGGGAACATTGTCTTAGGAACCTTGGACTCTATTAGATTTTTCGTTGTTATTTGTTTCATAATAATATTACACGACATTTGGGTATTAACTGATTTTTATTACTGTTTATACAGTGTCATTTTGAAAATACTAACTTTTTTAACACTCATAGCCCCACACCCTGTGTCGCTGGTGCCATGGATACACACATAGACAACCACAAATTACACCCAAACTCACGAGAGAAATAAATGTAGGCAAATATTTCTCCTGGTCCGGGAATCGAACCTGAGACCTTTGCGTAGCAGTCCAGCATGCTAACCATTCGGCCACGAAGGTGTACGGCCTCGGTTACTAACATCTTAAACAACTACTTTCGTTCCATGACTTTAAACATTTCATCGTATTATTTACTTTCATGCAAATATAAATTGATCGCTCTAAACGGTAATAACTCTATGCATTACAGACCTAAAAAGTGTAAGATGGTACAAAAAAGTTTCGGTAAATTTATTATGTTTTGTATAAAGTCATGGAACAAAAGTTTCTGTTTACAAAACTATATAGGACCATGACCTCTTACAAATCTATCTAGAACTATATAGTCCCGCGAGGTTGTTAGTATTTTAAAAATAACCCTGTATATCACGTAACAAGACGAACAAGTCGTTCGTCTGGTGGTAGGCCACTCAGAGTCTTAATCACAAAGGTCTAAGAGGCACTGCCAGTGCGCCCGTCACTCTAAGGTATAAAGTTGACAAGTCCCATGTGCCTGTAATTTCACTAGGACCCTTTAACGCCAAAACGCATTGTACGCTTGGCGGAAGAAATAGGTATATCTACAGTACTTCCCTGGACGAATACTGAGCATTGAACACCGCCGTAAATTTGCCTGCTTATCAGTATAGTACAGGATATATTACGGAGAGTGTGCGAGGGAATTGCACGATGTATTTCCGTCTTCGGGTATCAGACTTAGGCCGGGGTTCCACCCCTATGTTGTGGTTATTCCAAGGATTCGCTCAAGGCGTTTCGCTCCCACATTTATATGGCGAACAGCTATGGAGTGGAATTCCCTGCCTCCAGACTTGTTCCCTGAACGGCATATCTTGGGCCTTGTTAAGGCGAGAATGAATAGGCATTTTTAGGTGCACATGCTCCATCGTCGAGTTCATCGTCACTTTTGATCAGGTGAGATGGCAGTCAAATGCGCACTTACATATTTAATAAAAAAATTAAATTAAAATTGCACAAGGAGCTCTACTGCTACTAAATGATGAATGATTTATATTCCCTAATTACAAGAAAGTAACAAAAAATATAGACAATATACCTAGGTGTTCTCAATAATGTACAAAAATAAATCTGTATTACTAATAAAAATATTAGTCGAGTTTATAAAATAGGGCTATGCCATTCATAATGGCCGAATTTCTAAATACAGACACACATTACGGTAATTTTGATGATACAATAATACGTCCACTCAATATTTAAATAAAATATATTTAAAAAAGCGTTATAATAAGTTTATTATAGTAGATGCTTATTATACTAAAACCCTTTAAAGGACAAAACATGTCCAGCAGTGTATATATAGACAATGAAAATTTTGAACCTTCCAATTGAGGCAAATCCAAAGATGCCTCACTGGTTAAGTACTTTATGTACAGCGAGGGAACTGATGAACTGCATTCCGGTTTAAAAGGGTAAGTAAGGGTGCTGGTGAAATTACAGGCACATGGTAATTGTCAACTTGTCTTAGGGTGACAGGCGCAGTGGCAATGCCCCCACAGATCTTTAACGTTTTAAACCGCTGCAACTGTTATGGACAGGCGTGTCGTTTACCACCAGGCGCACAACTTGTTCGTCCCGTCACTTATTTTAGTACGATAAAAAATACAATGCTACAATGATAGGCCTCATTTTTAACCGACTTCAAAAAAAGGAGGAGGTTCTCAATTCGACTGTTTTTTTTTTGTATGTATGTTACGCGATAACTCCGGTATTTGTAAACCGATTTTCGTGATTCTTTTTTGTTAGAATGAGGGTACCCTCCATAGTGGTCCCATTTGATTTTGAAGAAATCGTCCACCTCTAAGGGTGGCTGATCACGCATGAACATTCATTTTTATAAATAGCGCCTAAATTTTACTTAAGCAATTATTTTAATGGTTGGTTTTGCTATTCTCCAATTCAAGACGTTTTTTCTCTCAATATACTTTGAGTAGTGAGAACCGATTTTTATTATCTCCTGTGTCAAGTCCTGTGTAGTGGCGAACTAGGGGATATTTCAATAAAACTTGGCAAATAGATGTAATTCCACGTACTTTTAAGGTCGGTTTTTTTAGTACTCTGTACCGAGATTATATTATGGCTTTGCTATTCATGTAGGTAATAAAAATAAGTGGTAAAAACAATGATTAGTTACTATTCATGAGATTTGTAACAAATATTTGAATAATAATAACAAATAGATAAGACAATAATCCATTAATACTTACAATCCAATCATCCCCTAAAGTTGCAGCTCCAACCCACTTGCCAATATCAGGTCGGCTAACCTTGCTATTATTGTGCGGCTCTAGTTTATTGTAGGCTTTACTGGTTCTCATGTCCCAAAGCAGGACAGATCCATCTTCACTGGCTGAGATTAGCTGATTTCGTCTGTGATGTTAAATAAAAATATTGTATGCCATAACTGCTTTCTTAATATCTCTCGGCAATCTTTGTGTCACAGATTAATAGCCAAACGACTTTAAGATGTATTTCAGTTATATAAAAGAAGAAATTCTTTGTTTATTAAATTTCTTGCTACATTGTTAAAAAGTAAATGTTATTACAAAAAGGGAAATATAATAATAAATTTCCCTAATAAATAATTATTAAATATACCTGAGCTAAGAATCAAACCAATTAAAAACTCATTTAATATATTATTATACTAATTGATAGGATCAATGATAACAATGAAATCTCTCAAATAAAGTTTGGATTTTATAATAAAAGATGTCCAAGAAACAGCAGAATATCCACTGCTTACCTTAAATATAATTTCAATGGCCTGCAAAATCTGCAGAACTTACGCCTGCAGTTTTCTTAGGAGACCATTTAAAAAAATACATATTTTTTTTTGCCAATGTGCAATCAGTCTTATATGAGACCATAAACAGTTAATTTTTTGATATAATTTGGCATGTCAGGCATACCCATCCAATGTTGCATTGCCTGTGTGTGGAAAACTATTTAACCTGGTGAGTTCAGTTCCAAATGTGTTTATGCTTCAATTTTCTCATCCGTGGTGGTACACACAATGCGCTAGCTAGTTTGTTAGTATGAGTGGCTATACTTTCTATATAGGACTTAGTTATTTCCTCAATAATTGTAATATTTTCAAAAACTTAATTTCAAAAAGTCTTATGAGACTAGAAGATTTGTACCTCAGCTCTACTCAACTCTATCCTTATAGGTGACAGTAACATTAAATTAATATTAGATTTTATGGATGTTTTGTATTTGCAAGGCCCAATTGTTGCAGGGAAGATTTCATCCTATCAATTATTAATACAGTAAAATAGTGAGAGTTTACTTTTTGCACTTTTAGTTGGTTCATATTCCCAGCTCAAGTAAAGCTTTTCATAAATCTGTTACTGCAGTTATTTATTTAAAGAAAAATCAAAGATTGCTCTAAGTAAAATAAGCTATCTTAGGTATCTAAGTATCTATCTTTATTTCCACCGTGTATACAAAAAAAGAAGTAATTTGCAAAAGAAAATTATCAAAACAATAAATATACCAACAGTGCTTACTTTCCATGAATCGAATGTATTAAATCACGATGTCCATTATATGTCGAAATCAGTCTACCATCTTCTAGGTTGAAGACATACACTTTGCCATCTCCACAACCTGCGTACAGCTTTTCTTCATCGTCGGACAGCCACAGACAATTCACGTCACATTGTTCCATGGATGAAACTGTTGGTATTCTCAACGTCCATGATGGCTTGCCTAGTTTTACACTTGTAGCCAATTTCCATTCATATCCAGAGATTTCGTCTACCGATCCGATTATAAGGAATTTTTCCGTAGATGCTAGACTGCATATTTGATTGTTTGTATCGAATGTATGGGTATGTTTTGGTTTATTATAATCGGGCGTCAAAAGTTCTACCACCGGATTCAATATACGGTCAAGACTGGAAATTATTAAAACATAAGTTATTTTCTTAGAAGGTATTATATAGAACGGAATTGTAGCGAAGATTAACCCAAATTACTTACTCAAATACAGCAATCTGACCGTAAATGTTGCCGGCTACCAAATACTTTCCACAAGGCGAAAACGTTTGACAAAGAACAGTATTATATAGTATTTTGTCAAGCATGATGTCTGCTACAGAAATTAAAAGTTTTATACACAAACTTTCTTTGGCAATTAGAATTTTATTTCCTGTTTCGTTTGGTTATTATTTCCTTAATTTGCTTGTGGTAAACAAACAAACTTGTAACTTGCTCATAACAAACATAACCTAACTTAATTTTTTTTAATTTATTAAGGCTTTGGCAAAACCATCAGCCTAAACATGAATAGAGTTAACATAACTTAATACCATAATTGGCCATAATGCCTATGTTGTTGTTTGGTTGTTGTTGTTTTTTCCATTCTTTCCGTAAAGGAAAAGGCAAAGGTTTGACACCACACAATGTTCTAAAATAGGTTGTTTTTTTAATATTAATAGCTTTACTTTCGCATTTAGCCAATGAAAGGGTTGGAAAGCAAAATAATAATTACATAATATGGAAGAGTTACAGAATTTGGATGTAAAAGGGGATATATGTAGGTGGGTAGCCATTATATATCGGCATTCATATCCGGGCAGGGGAAAAGATATGGTTTAGGTCCCCATAGGCCCCGCATGAGCATGCGTTCACTAAGTAGTCTGTGGAGCATGCAAAGTCAGGTACAATTAATTTTAAGTATGAACCAGTGTTGGGCGTTAATCAATTAAATTTCAATCAATAATTCAATCAGATTAAAAAATCAATTCAATTGAAATCGGGTCCCCGCTCGGCAGGGACCATCCCAAGCAGGGACCCCAAGCGCGGACCCCAACCGGGGACCCTAAGCGGGGACCCCAACCGGGGCCCCCAAGCGGTGCTCCCAACCGGGGCCCCCAAGCGGGGCTCCCAACCGGCGCCCCCAACCGGGCCCCCTAACCTGCCCCAGCAGGCCCCCAACCGGCCCCCAACCGGCCTCCTAACCTGCCCCCAGCAGGCCCCCAACAGGCCGCCACAACCAACGCCCTAACTCACCCCCATATGCCTTATAAATTTATCATAATTGTCAGTTTTAATTGTTAATTGTTAATCAAAAACATTGAAAAGATTGAAAATTGATTAATTGTTAATTGTAGATATTTGCGATTAACGATTGATCAATTGTTAGTTGCGAGAACCGCAATTAACAATTGATTAATTGTTAATTGCGGTTCTCGCAACTAACAATTGATCAATCGTTCATTGCTGTTTCGCAATTGACAATTAATCAATTGTCAATCTTTAATTGCCAGAACAATTAAATTTTGCCCTACACTGGTATGAACAGGTGCGTTGGAGTTGTCACGTGACCAAGTCGTAGCCTACAAATAATGGAGGTAGTTTTTTCGTCAAATTTCATCTTGCTTTTGGAGGTATCTGTCAGCCAGCCATGTCTCGAATAAATATCGTTTCGGTAGGTTTACAGATCATGGCTATAATTCTCGTAATAATGTATGTCCCCGTTTCGAACAGCTTCGTTTGCCAGCCTGTCAGCTTTTTCCTTTTTCATTGCCAGCGATGCCCGCAAGTCTCGGCATCCAGGCAAGCGACGGCGTTGCCCAAGAAGCTTTCGTAGCCCTACAACAAGCATTGGAAGAGGAGATTTCTGCTTTTAAAAATAACAGGCGCTTGTATACGGCTTTTAAAGGGAAACCACGATAGAATCTGTAAAGCGCTTTGCGGTGGCTATTAGGCTTGTATAGTGCATGAACTACGAACTATTAGGAATATATTCTCGACACTGACCGACATGAACTAGTTCGTCTTGGACGGTTTTAATAGTTCATCGTTATTTTTAGTTCAGGAGGAACTAGGAACTGTCTGCGTTGTTAGTTCACCTGTCTTTTATTCAGAAGGAACGGTGCGAGTGGGACAAATAGCGATCTTTCACTGCTTTTAGTACAAGTTCGAGTGGGATACATGATTGAACGTCGCCAGCTCGTTCTTAGTCTCTAATACGTATCTATATTATTTATATGTACATTCAAACTTGCGAAAAAGTAATATTTTTTGGTAGGTGTGGTAGGTATCTGTATGTATAATATCGACTTACGTGTACAAGTATATGAAATAGTTGTATCTACATATTGATTTAAACACGCCATTTTAACTAAAATTCTTATTTTGTAAAAAAAATAGGATATTTAGTTAGAATGACGGTCTTTAAACCTGTAAAATACGAAGGAAACCAAATAGTACCGATTCCATACAAATTGTGTTTTTAAATATTTAACCGTTAACCATAGTCGTGGAAAAAAATAACGCTTCTATAGTCGTGGGTCCAATGGACACATGCATTTTGGAATGGAGATAAAATAGAAAGTATACATACATAATATTTTTTTATTCAAAGTATTATTTGAACTTTAACGAATGTTGTGTTGTATAAAATTAACGGTAGAAATATATATATCAATATCTATTCATATAAGTCGTAATTTTCTTAATCTAAAACCAGCTCAACTAAGAACAATCAATAAAAAAATTAAACAAATATCAATATCCACAAACAAACTTTTTCTTACATTTGAAAATATATTGTTTTACAAAAATGAAATTAAGTGTCTCCTCGTAAAAAAAACTGACATTAGTGCAACTTAACCTAATTAAAAACATGAATAGCACACAGTTTTCACATATGTCATGTAAATAGGCAGATCATGTAAGGTTCACATAAAGGTTCGGTGGCTCCTTTCTCTGCCGCACGGTTGACAAATGGAACTCCCTTCCGGCACATGTCTTCCCTCCCTCTTATGATATGGGGTCCTTCAAACGAGGCGTGAAGAGGCATATTGTAGGCAGGCAGGGTGGAGGCGGCTAGTGCAGTGAGGATTCCATCGCTGCACTAGGTTCCTTCGCGTTTGGATACCACTTTCCACTTAACATCAGGTGGAGTGGAGTCATTTGCCTGTCAGGTATAAAAAAAAAAACAAAAAAAAAAACTTTATTTTCATTAAATTTTCATTATCAGATGTTTCAGAACATTTCATGATCACTAATTGTGACAAAATCTTCGTCTTTATCTGAAAACTGTTGGTCATAATTTGAAATTATGGCATTGCGTGCAGATGTAGAATTTTCGCCGATTTCTTTCTCATCGCTGTCTAAATCAGTGTTCAACCAATGCTCTAATATGTCTTCTTGAATTACTAAGATACTTTTTCGATTCGCCATGACTAGAAACTGAAATAAAAAAGAAAAATGGATAAAATATGTCACCCAAAAAACTTACGTATCTACGTACCGTGCCCACGTGTACGGGCCCACATGTAAACCATTATTCACGTTTGGAGCAGCGAGCAAAGCAAGTCCATCTCACAGTGTGCGCTTTGGCGTGACATCGGAAAGTACTAAGTTGTAGGAAGAGCTGTGTCGCCTACAGCGATTCCTACGCGAGTTTAAAGAACGAACTTGGGCCCATTGGACCCACGACTATAGTTAAGGGTTAACAGTGTAGTATTGACCTCATAATACTAGAAGTCCGTAGTAGTTCATGTGAATAAAATTACAAGCGTTCGTTCAATGTCCGAACAAGAACTAGACGAACTAACTAACTAAAGGGAACTAGATGAACTAAGTGAACTAGAAGAACCTAGTTCAGTTGACCGATTGAACTAGCTAGGATCGCTCCCTCTAGGGACCGATCAGGCACAAGTCTAGTGGCCATTTATTTTTTTCCATCCTCTATATTATGTGGCCATGCCACAGATAATAAATAAACATTACGAAATGAATGAATAGTTTTTGTCCAAATCAGCGCCATCTGTTGAATTTTTTTTTAAATATTCCATAGGTCTATAAGTGGTACCAACTTTGAAAGAAAAACCATTCATTCGCACGATTAAGTCGTTCATTCAAAATTCAATCCGTAAAAATAACCAAAATGGACGTGTGTTTTATTTTAGCTTGAGAAAAACAGCAAAACAAGGTAAAAATTACGTTATTTTATACAATTAGTATACTTTGTTTCAATTTTATATAATTTTTCCTATTAGACTATAAAAAATGTTTCGTATATTAGGTAATTAGTGGATTAAGGTATCAGTATCAAATTGCGCCTACCATGTACGATTCAATTGCATGAAATTGATTTCATATTTCAGCTAAGTAAACCGTCGAAATGTACAATGGTATTGGTCTCACCACTCCGAGGGGGTCGGGGACTAACGGCTATGTACAGCGAAACTGGGCTTCTGTGAGAAAAACCAAAGATTCGGTGAACTATCGCACTGAGGAGGAGATCGCAAAGTTGGATTCTGCATCGAATAAACAACCAAATAGGGAAATTCTGGACCATGAGAGGAAAAGGAAGATCGAAGTGAAATGTGCCGAGTTAGAGGACAGTTTGGAGGAGCAAGGGTGAGTATATTTACGCTTTCAGTTGAAGATATTGTTACTATATAGAATTCATGTTCGTTTTTGTTCAATATAGGCTGTGTGACGCAAGTTTTTTAGCACTACAGCGATAACTGATACAGTCGGCTTTGAAAAGGCTATTACGAAAGTTAGAACATATAGAATTTTAAGTATTATTTAGACCCGTGCTAAGGTACCACTAGGCAAACAAAGGTTTTGTTAAGCTCTTCAAATTTATTGTGACAACCAGTAAACAACCTATTAGCTAATGGATAAATTAATCATTATGTTATCTGATTTATAAAATCAACATTGTAATCTAAGAAAGAACAAGTGCTGCCACATTATCTATATCTGCCACCAAGCAGTAATATGACCATTACTGTGTTCTGGTTATGATGGATAAAAATGCTGGTTGAAACTACATGCACATGCATGTAGTATGTGCATGTAGTAGATTAGACAACTCTGCATCTCAGGGTGATTGATGCAACTGTTATAGGTAGGCCTGTCACTTATCACACCATAAAAAAAGGTCGGGTTATGAAAGTAGGGAGTGATTACCTTTTTTTTATTTTTTTATTACATAATGTACGAAGTTACAACTGTGGACAAAATCTATATCTAGATTATATTTAAGGTGGTGTTTTTTAAACCTCCTTAAACTGAATCACATGTACTTTTTTATTTTATATATTTTATTTGCTTTGGTGATATGGCATACATTCTCAATTTTCTGCATATAGA